CCAATTTGTTTTTCCGTCTAATTTTATTTGTGATGCTTTGAATCGGTCTTGCTATTTCTCAATTCTACTTGACGTTCGAGTGGTTCTGTCGCCATTTCTCAATTTTTATTTTGATTTCTATTTCACCGGTGAGATTGCTTTAATATTTGGGTATTTTTGGGTAAAACATATTTGGGTCTGCTTTGAATGATTTTGTGTATTAACAGAGGAAGGAAGAGATATAGCATTTGGTAGATATCCATATTCAAACATTGTTGGGCTGCTTCCTCAGAATGAGTATTTTGCTTCCAAGCCTTCACATTTTGTTGTTTGTGATGATGATTTGGAATTTGAAAATGTGTTCATTTATCGATTATTGTGTTTCTTTGAGGTGTTTGGTGATCAAAGCCATAGCCAAGATGGTGAAGGTGGTTCGCCATCCACCGCCCCCAACCCTCTAGCCCATCGCCGGAGCAATAGTTTCTCCGATGGTGGATTTCTAGTTTTCATTTTTCTTTTATATATTTTAATATTAAATATTTATTCATGTGGGAAAAGGAAAAAACAATGCCAGCTGGCTTTTTGGTCCAAGTCAGCGCCATATCATTGCCCAGTCATCCTTTGTTAATAGGGTAACAGAGAGATTGATAGAAAGACGGTGTTTCCTGACGATCATAGTTAACAAGAGGGGTTATTTGCGGAGTTCAAGTAGTACAGGGCCTGATTTGCACTGCTTTTAAGTACATGGACTGACAGGCGACAACAAGTTAAGTAGAGGGGCTGAATTGCACCTTCTGCCCATCATGATTTGGTAGAAGTCGTCCCACACCATACATTTATTTTCTATGGTGGAGAGCCCATCACGATATACACGTGGACCACTGATTCTTTTCTGTAATAGGAGGACAAAATAATTATTTATTTTATTGTTTGTCTATGCACTGCAATATTAATTGAGTAGGGAAATAGCATTGCAATTTCTGGGAAATGACATGTATAAATACCACATTGCCTCTCTTGGATTTCCATAGAAATTAATTGCTTTCTGATTTAGAATTCAATGGCTCGATTTATCTTTCTTTTGCTTGCCTTTCTCATTTTGATCACTGATGTTACCATTATTAGCATTTGCAATGGCAACTCTGTTCACGCTGTCTGCAGTGAGAGTGAGAAAAAAGCCCTTTTGAAATTCAAGCAAGGTATCGTGGATCGCACCAACCGATTGGCCTCTTGGGTTTCCGATGGAGATTGTTGTAGATGGACGGGAATTGTCTGCGACAACATGACTGGTCACGTCATTGAACTCCACCTCAGAACTACTCCTCCATGGGAGGTCCATTACTATGTGGTGGACGATTATGAGGCTGATGATGCTTATGAGAGATCGAGGCTGGGTGGTAAGATAAGTCCTTCTCTCCTCCATTTGAAGCATTTGAGTTATTTGGATCTTAGCAACAATGATTTTGGAGGAATTCACATTCCCAAGTTTTTTGGTTCTTTGGGGAGTTTACAATACCTTAACCTTTCCCATGCAAAATTTGGAGGGGAGGTTCCACACCATCTTGGGAATCTCTCAAATCTGAAATATCTCAATCTTGGGAATAATTATCATCATACCATGTATGTTGAGAATCTCCACTGGTTGTCTAGTCTTTCTTCATTGGAGTACCTTGATTTGAGTTATGTGAACCTTAGCCAAGCCTCCAATTGGTTTCATGCATTAAATACATTTCCTTCTTTGGTAGAATTACACTTGTCATACTGTCAACTTCCCTATCAAGTCAATCCCATTGCAAGTGTAAATTTATCATCTCTTGCTACCCTTTCTCTTTCTCAGAATTATTTCCAAAACTTGTCAATGATCAATTGGGTTTTTGGTCTAAAAAACCTGATTTCCCTTGATCTAGGGGATAATGATATTGAGGGTCCAATCCCTTATGGTCTTCGAAATTTGACTTTGTTGAATCACCTTGATCTGTCAGAAAATTATTACAATTCTTCAATACCTGATTGGTTGTACACTTTTGCTCCTCTTGAGTCTCTAAATCTTGAGTTTAATGATTTGAAAGGTCAAATTTCAAGTGAGATAGACAAAATGAACTTTATTGTTGATCTTGACTTATCCTATAATAGTTTTGAAGGTCGAATCTCAATTAGATCAATAGGAAATCTTTGCAACTTAAGGTCACTCTCTTTCTCTAGTGTTAATTTGAGTCTAGACATATCAACTATCTTAGAAGTATTTTATGTATGTGTTTCTAATAAATTAGAGTCATTGTTCTTGGATAATTGTCAGCTCTACGGACAATTAACCAACCAACTAGGGAACTTTAAAAATTTGAGAGAGTTGTATTTGTATGGAAACTCTATCTCTGGTTCAATACCAGAATCCATAGGAGAGCTTTCATCCTTAAAAATTTTATCTCTCTCTCAAAACAAATTGAAAGGAAACCTTCCTGAGTCATTTGGTCAACTTTCCAATTTAGAAGAGGTTTATATATCACATAATTTTTTGGAGGGTACTCTTTTTGAGAAACACCTTTTTAACCTCACAAAATTGTTAAGTTTGATTGCAAATGGGAACCCATTGGTTTTGAAGGTTGATCCTAATTGGATTCCTCCTTTTCAAATGAAAGACTTGGAATTAAGATCTTGGCATTTAGGACCGCAATTTCCACATTGGCTTTCATCTCAAGCACACCTAATTTATTTAGATATCTCAAACTCTGGAATAATAGATAATCTCCCTAGTTGGTTTTCGGACTTTTCTCATCATTTGAGATATTTGAATCTCTCTCAAAACCAAATTCATGGGCAACTTCCAAGTATTTATAGCTTCAAAGATCCAATATCTCCAATTGTCTCCCATTTGACTATCTTCGACTTTTCCCATAATCTTTTTTCAGGTTCCCTTTTCAACTTTTTGTGTATTGGGGTCAATAAAACCACAAATCAAATGTCTATTCTCAATCTTGGCAACAATTTTTTTTCTGGAGAGTTGCCAAATTGTTGGTCCAAGTGGCCAAATTTACAGGTCATTGTATTAGAAAACAATCATTTCACAGGTAAAATTCCGAACTCCATAGGAGCTTTACAATTCCTTAGATCGTTGCATCTTCGTAAAAATAACCTTTCAGGAGAATTTCCTATGTCTATAAGGAATTGTACAATTTTGCAAACCCTTGATTTTGCTGAAAATGAATTGGTTGGGAACATCCCGTCATGGATGGGTCGTAATCTTCCATACCTGACAATCTTGAGCCTCCGTTCAAATAAGTTTTCAGGGCATATACCTAGAGAGTTGTGTGCACTCAGTTTTCTCCAGATCTTGGACGTTGCTCGTAATAATCTTTCAGGAAGCTTACCAAGTTGCGTTAGTAACTTAAGTGCCATGCTTTGTTCTGCAAATGGGTCATTTGGGAACTACATTAGCTACCCCCTAGGATATTTTACTGAGAATTTATTTCTTGTGATGAAAGGCCAATTTTATGAATATGGTTGGACTCTTAATTTGGTAAGAGTCCTTGATTTGTCAGATAATAGTTTATCTGGAGATATTCCTTGGGAAATAACTAAGCTTCAGGGGTTGCAATCACTGAATTTGTCACACAACCATTTCACTAAAAGGATCCCTCCAATTATTGGTGACATGAGTTCACTAGAATCTCTTGATCTTTCTGCAAACAAATTGCTTGGGTCAATCCCTGAAAGCATGTCCAAATTGTCATTTCTAAGCTACTTGAACCTTTCTGACAACCAATTGACTGGAAAAATTCCCTTAGGTACTCAGTTGCAAAGCTTTGATGAATCTTGTTATGCTGGAAATGAACTTTGTGGCCTTCCACTAATGAAGAACTGCAACGAAGTTAATCAAAGAGTACCTAGCACTAGAAATAATGTGGGGAAAGATATGGATAGAGATAAAGTGATTTGGTTGTTTGTTAGCATGGCACTTGGATTTATTTTTGGATTTTGGAGTGTATTGAGTCCTCTTTTGATTAGTAGGCAATGGAGGTATGCATACTATCAATGTTTGGATGAGATGTGGCAGAAAGGCCGGTCATTTTGGGAGTGGATTTTTCTAAAATCTTATGTAGTTTTCTTTACAAGTGTATTTCTCTTCATGTTCTTGTGATATATTACAAAGCATCACCTCTCCGCTTTCAGCAACTCTGTTTTGATTTTTTGTTATCCATAATAAAGCCATAAAATAGTTAAATATATAAGAAAAAAAATAGCAAACACCTTTTTCGAGTTTATCAGCTTACAATTCAATACATAAATCAATAAGAATATAATATTAATTGTGATTTAAGAAATTCAATGAAAATTAAAAAATATGTCCTTTTTCCTTGTTGAAAAACTTATTTAAATTGTAATACACTTAGGTGGAACCTAGAGAATATTGAAATTTTAAACAAGAAAAAAAAAAGTAGGGAAGAAAACTGAGGATGGTGTGGTAATACTTACCTAGCACATGTATAAAGAGAGGCATAAGGTATGGTAAAGTAGGCCTAGAAAATACCACTTGAAGGCTCCGTAATTAATTGAACAGAGGCAAACTGACTTTTCATTTGGTGGTTTAAAGTTTAAATGAAAAGAAGATCCTTGAAATTAGCTGGCAGCTGCAATAACAAAACTGAACAAAAATCCTATAAGCAGCGGTAATCTGAATAATCACATGCTTTAGCCAATTGGGATGTTTCATCAGTATCTCCTTCATATGTTAATTAGTAATATTTCCAATCTCCATAAGGGCACTGCTACCTCTTTATCTATATGATCTTACAGGGTATTGAAGTCATTGTTTACACCCTCCAAAGCTTGCAGCACCAACACAAGAATTGAATGAAGTATTCTTAACATCGCGGGTTACTCACTTTAGAAACATGAGAAAGAATATACAATCACAAATCGTGCTGTTCTGAGTAACGGTAAAAACGTAAATAAAAAAGAAAAAAGAAAAAAAAAAGAAAAAGAAAAAAGGACAAACCCAAGTAAGTGTATGAGACAAAACCAGGCATTCCAAAAGGAAGATGGCAATATCACTCAATCTCCTACACAAGAAATTCTTCAAACATATAGGCGGTCTCTAATAATTTATATATAGTCAATGGTTTTCATGAAAGAAATGACTCATCTTTTTTGTGGTTTTTTTTTTCTTGGATGGTCTTTCCATGGAAAGCATAACTTCGTGGATTTCCTCGATGTCTAAGCAACTACTCCTCTGAAAAAGAATTAGAGGCTCATTTGAGTCATTTCATTTCCCCCCCGAATCAGATTGTAGGTCAAAATGAAGCCTTTTGCTAGTAGATAGGCAATTCGGCAGCCAGCCCAACAACGAATGGGCTAGGGTAGCTTAATGTGGTTAATGCAAAATGGGCTTGATTGGCTGTTAAGCCCATTCATATTGTTTGCTTTTCCGGCCTTTCCCATCCATTATGTACCCTTCCCCAACATAGGTCCGCCACCGCACGTATGGTATCTGCCTCAAGTTGCATGCTATCATTTGAGAATAAAGTTAGCTTAGCTAGAAAAAGAGTTAGCTTAGTGAAAAATTTTTGAGAACAAAGTTAGTTCCAAATATATTTTACAATATAAATTATAAAGTTGCTTTCATGTTAGGTTGACAAAATTAAATTCGATGTACTTTTTAATGGGTTTTGTACCAAACATTGCTCTCAACAAACAAATTCATCATAGCCATGTAAAGACAGAACATACTCCAAAGGAAGACTCTACAATCCCCACCAACTTAATTTGTTAACACATTATTCGTATTATTTTTCAAATGGTTAAATGCAAAGTTTGGTTTCTCAACTTTCGAGTTACATAATTTTGGTTCCTCAATGTTTTTATGCATTTTCTATCTTTCAATTATGAAAAATATACTTTTTTAATTTTTCTATCAGTTAGTATATTAAATTTTCTATATATACACATTTTTAATTCTTTAATTTTAAGATTTTGCATAAATTTTGTCTCTCAACTTAAAAGTTCAAGAAATAAAAATGTACATATATATGAATATAATTAATAGGTTAATTGACAAAAAAAACTAAATTTGTACAATTTTCATAATTAATGGATTAAAAAAATGTATGAAAAATTTGAGAAACCAAAATTAACATTTAGCCTTTTCAAATTCATAGTCATAAAAACTCTGTTTCAATTCAAAATGTATTTTGAGCAATAATCTCCACTAAGCTAAAAAATTGCTTAGTTTTATCAAGATTAGCATTGAATTAAGCAATCAATGCAAAGGTTTCCATCAACATACCCAGATCACGGAGCAGTCCACCTAGAGAAGCACTGGAAGCTGCAGGAAATTAATCTATACTTCCAGTTGGTTTGTGCTGTCTCAATGGTGAGGCCAGGTTGTATTAATTGGGTTTTTTTGTCTGATCATTGCTGAATTACTTGTACAGATTTGAGTACCCTTGTACTCACTTCTTAATAAAAATTTTATTTTGTTGGCTAATAAAAAAGGTGCCCAGATCATGACATGAATAAAAATATCAATGATGATCTTTTCTTATCTTTACTCTCTCTTTTTTTTTTTTCCAAAGATTACTTTCCAATTCATATCCATATATTATATATCAGTATATCAAAACAAATTGATATTCATATATATATATATATATATATTGGATCATCGATATTTATATCAATTGACGTTGTGTAATTTTTTTGTTTGACCAATCAAAATGTTTTCAAAATAATTTATACATCAAAATTAATTTCTTCTCATAACAATTTACTTATCAAATGAATTAAACTCTTAAGTTATATTGTATGGTTTGCCTAAGCATGCATGTAGCACTAGTACCTTAAAAAAAAATTAAAAATACAACTATAAATTCAATGGTAGATCTACAGACAATTAATATAGCCTCCCCTTTATTTTAATTATTGCAAGGCATAACTAGTGGAAACACAAACACTTGACACCCCTCATGACTTCTTCACTTCTTTTAATAATAATGCAATCTCTTTAAGTAATCTTAATTTCCAACTCTGCCTACTTCCTCTTAAATTTTATATACCTCAATCATCAAGTAATTTTTTTTATTAACTTCTCGGTATTCGATAACCACAATAAATCCTCACTAATCTGAAATCAAGTCACATTAGATTTTATTAGGAGGGAAGTTCTCTTAGTCTATTTCTTTATTAACAAGACTTGAACTCGATATCTTACTTGAGAGGAACCAAATTTTTCCTATTTGAACCAACAACTCATTGGTTCAATCATCCAGTAATTGACCTTTTGAAATATCATCAAGCTACTACTAGTTTGGTATTGTCACCGACAATTTTTAAGACCCTCATTTCCATAACGCCATTAAATTTTGCTAAACTCAAACTCAAATATCAATAATTATATGTAGAAAATTGATAAAGTAATTGATTAAATTGACAAAAAAACTTTTTTATAATTGGCCATCAAATGACTTGTTTTATAATAGAGGCCATCAAATGACTTTTTTTTTTTTATGTGTTTTAATTAATTGGCCTCTATTATTAAAAATATATATCAATAATTATATACAGTAATTGAACAAAGCATCAGC